AAAAATGACATATTTGTTGAATGGTGTTGCAATGTGTGTGTGTGTGTGTGTGTGTGTGTGTGTGTGTGTGTATATATATATATATATATATACACCAAAATCACCTTCTCAACTGCCAACCCATGTGGCTTGGGTAGTCACACCCTGACCAGATCTCCTAGCCCAGGTCCCACACTGAACTGTGGTACTCCCCTTTCTGACCGTTAGCATGGCCCCGGTGCCCATGTTTATCACTGGATATTGTTCTCTGATCTCACTATTTCTCTCATTTCCAACCACATGAATTGAAGAAAAAATACTTTAACTTCATGTAACCCTACATTAGTTAACAGCAAAGAACTGGCCATCTGCATTCGCGGCTTCTTTTTACTTCTGCCAAGTCTCATTGCATAATAGATAAGGGTTGTATGGCTGCACAGGAAGGGCATACAGTCATGGAAAACGGAAATACAGAGGCACATAAAGACATAGAGCATGGACAGATAAACAAAGAACTACAGACATTTCCTAATTTCAAAGTATTGTGTATGTATATACATAATGTGGCTACACTAATTTTGTTTTCCTGTACAAAATATTGGCATAACTTTCTAGGATGATGGGCAGGTCATTCAACTAATGTAAATATTATTCAGAATTAATTCTTTAGCTTGGTTTCTAATTTTATACATGTAAAGATCATGCAAAAATGCATCATATACTACCATTTATACATCACTACCACTGACAATTATATACTAGAATCACTGACAATTATATATTATAATTGTATTTTTATATACTGACATTACATACTAAGCTTTGATATATATCAATTTAATAATAATGATGTTCAGAGAGTAGTATTAAGAAATTTCTGGCAAAACCTAAATACTGAGGTTTAAGCAGAAGATTTATTTCTATTCTCAAGGCAAGAATAAGGATAATTATGCATTTTCCTTATCAAACCTTCAAACGATTCCCTCTATTTCAAGTTAGTTTAAGAGTAGAAAAATCAAATACAAGAAAGATTTACCAAATACCTGCACTATGTTAGAAGCACTATATTATTCTATCCACTCTTAAAATAACTCTGCATGGAATAAGTGTTTATTCTTTCAGATGAAAAGTAGACTTAATACATTTTTAAGTTTCTGTAAGCTCCTTGAGGGAAGTATTAAGAATCTTTTTTGCTCACTGCCATGTTTTTAGCTGCTAGCACAGTTTTATGATTCCAAGTAGGTAATAAATGATATTTGCTAACTAGTTTACCAAGTAATAGAGTTACAGAGCAAGAATATTAGCTCATGTTTGTCAGATTTCAAACCTCAGTCAGTCTGTGTCCAGACCATAGTAGAGGCAGGTGATCTGCATTCTGCCTCATCTCTCCCAATGCCAGGAGAGCTGATGGGATCCTGTATTGGGAAGAACGGCCTTGATAGAAATTGATCATCTTACTGGCAGTAATACCAGAGCTCAAGAAACCAGGTCCACTCTGAGTCTCATAATAGCTTGTGTAACATTAGTCAAGTTCCTTTACCACTCAAAATTCAATGTTTGTACCATAAATATTTAATGATAAAGATTATAATAAATATTGTTAAACCCACAAGAATATCATGAATAACAGTACCAAATATATCTGAAGTGTATAGCTATAAAATCAATAGTTATCATTGTTATTTGCTCAAGATAAAAGAATTGAGACTCAGGTCATACCCAGAAAAGCTAATTCTCCGCGGACATGAGGGCAGATGAAGCTGGGCCTCACAACAGTAGGTAAGGAAATGTCGGGGGATGTCTGGGGGGAAAGGTACTTCTATAACTGTTACATCCATTTTAAGCCACTCCTCTATGGTGTTGAGTTATGTGCTATTCCTTTAAGCCAGGATTGGTAGAGGCTGTAAAAATGTCTACTGAGTAGACCTCGGCCCTGGTGAACGGTTACGGCATGCCTCTGTTTATGCGTAAGCGGGTTTAAATGGCTGTGCATGTGAAGACCTGGATTTATAAGTCAAAAGTTGCACCACAGTGGAGGCACCTCCTGTAGAAGGTAGACAACACTGACTTGAATTTTCTCTGGTGCAAGTTTTAGAATACCTAACCATGCAATAAGGATAAAGTTTATAATTTGAAAGCTTCCATATTGTTTAGCTTTATGTGATTCAAAGAAAAGATAATAGAAAGGAGTTCACATAAAATGGAAAGGATTACTTAACTTTTTAGCCTAAAATATTAGATATACCAGGTCAATTTTTTATATGCCCAACTAGGGGTATTAAGATGTTTCTCAGAGTTACCTAGAGATTGTGTGTGTGTGCGTGTGTTTGTTTCCTCTGAGCATCAACAACAATGGAATAGCTCTCATGTTAAAATAATTTCTGAGCTAATGCCTGGTTGTTACAATTTACTAGAACCAAAACTGGAGGGACAGATAGTGTGATGAAGGCAATTAACATGTTCAACCACTTAATATTCATCATGCACTATGCTAGATTCACATATGCTATTTATTCAATCCTCAAAAGAACAGTATGAGTGAGGTATTTTTATAACTTAAAAAACCTAACTAGACTCATCCTGAGATATATAATGAGAAAAGCACTTGTTTAAAGTGACAAGTCTTTGTCCCATATCACAAATGTCACAAATGGACAAGAATGTGAATGTTTAAGTACTGCATCAGTACATGAATTAAAGAAACACTTTGAAATTTTTTGACAAAATTTATGTTATGTATGGTTATATAATTTTACTTTCTTTTTGTTAAAAGAGCACTACCTTATATTATAGTGGTTTGTTACATATAATTGTTAAAGCAGGGGAACTTTGGAGAAAACTTTTATCCATTCTTATAATGACAGCAGAATGCAATCCAATTTGAAACTTAGAACATGGGCCAGATTTGGAATTGCATCATTCATGAACTACAGCAGATTTCATAATCAATTAAAAACCAAAAGTGAGTGAAAGAGTCTGAAAATTCATTTCAGTTGCTTGATACATTGTAGTATGCTGAGACCTCCTAAGCACTGGCAAATATAACTGTGTCCCCTTTTCTTTGCTATAATTGCCATTAGCATATGAAATAGTGTCTGCACGACACCATTTTTATCTTAGTGCAAAACAAGGGTAATTAGTAAGAAAATTTAAATTATGAAAAAGGAACATACATATAGACTTCAACTTGCCAGGATTTATTGAGATTCAGTGAACATTATCTACTGAGTTGTATAGAAATTGTCTTGCTTACTTATTGAATATTTATATGTTTTATAAAATGTCCAAAGGTATGTAATTTCTTACATATTTGTATTATCAATATAAAGATGTTTAAATGAACAAGTACATACTTTTTTATGAGTATATTCACATGTTTCTATAAAATGACTTTTCTGCATATGTTCACATTATTTTGATGTTGTTGTTTTTTCCCCTATTTTGATTTGAAAGTTATATGACAAAAACAATTTTCCTTCAATGAAAAGTTTAGTTTTTTGTTCTGTGTATTAAAGATTAAATGGAGTAGTAAACACTAACAAACAAATGATTGCTTAGTTTGAGAAATCAGATTTGGGGAGGGTGTTTCTTTCAAATGCAAATACTTACTATATTAAAATTATTTTGATTACAAAAATATGTAAACCAAAAAATTCACAATAAGTGATAGAGTTAAGGAGTCAGCTGATTTTCCCCAAGTGTGGTGAAAAATAAAGACTAAAACATGCAATGTTGTTTTTTAAGCAAACAAAAACTTTGGTTATACATACATTATAAAAGGTACCTTAAGAAATAAAATTCTAACTCATATTTATTGCAGCTTAAGGCACACATATGACCTTTCCTCTTACTTCTATTAATAAATGTGGGCAAAAGCTGCTAAATCTTAGAGCAAAGATGGAAAGGAAAGGGACTAGTATAAATAACTGAGACAACATTAAGCATCACACAAAGAAACTAATTAAAGGTCTTACCATGGGCTATGGGTGCTAAAAGCATCATGAAGACTAGTAGCTGTGATGGCCACATGGTGGTGAAGTCAGGCGTGAGTGCCTCAAGAGGGAATGTTTCACACGTGAATCACTGTAAGTGTTTCTGGTTCCTCTTCTGTACTCCAAGACCGATGATTAAAAAGAAAAAGTAAAAACCCAAAAAGAAATACTCCTCAAAACAGAAATACCAATATCCCAAATTCGAATCCTGCAAACAAGAAAAAAAAAGTTATCAAATACAGGTTTTCTGAACTCTTTGAAAGTTTATTTCCTGACTAAAATATCTCTTATACCTCGTCATTTCATTTTAATGAGTACAGGATTCATATATAAAAATGAGTAACCTAAAGGACAATATTGATGCCTGTATCATCAGTATTTAATCTCTAGACCTCAAACAAATTGAAATAACTAATTCAGTATTACTGGAAAAAAATAATATAAATATACTATGTTATTTTTATAATAATTAACTAAGTTTGGCACTTACTATGTATAAAATATTTTCCACAAATACAATTTTTATTAACGTTACTATAAAAATTCATTCATTACCATTGCTATGAGATTGAAATAAAAAAGTTAAGTGTATGAGTTTTACTTTCATTTTAGCCCCTGATATTAATTCAGAAATTATTCTACATGTTATCTGCATTGCTATTCTAAGCATCTTTGTAAGTAAACTTGTGAAGATCATAGATTTTGTTAATTAATTATGCTCAAACATATTTAATTCATTCAACAGAGTTTTATAAAATACCCACTAAACTACAAAGCACTGGACTAGGAAAACAGAAATAGAATACTGAATAAAACATGCTACCTATTTTCCAGTATCTTACAGCTTAAGATTAACAATCTTGCTTAAAAGGGTTAAATACATTTATGGGGACATTAAAAAAGTCATGGTAGTGAATGAAACTGATAAAGCTGCTTCAGCTTATATATGCACAGATTTATCTTACAGAGCAAAAATATGAAGGGAACATGACCCACATTTTGATAATTCTGTCTTTCATGGTCAGCACCTTTAAAATTGATCCTATATATATAAAAAGCTAATATGCAAAGTGTCCTCTCAAGGGTTCAACCGGAGACCCAGAGTTACATCACTTGCTATGACGTGAACTGACCACCAGGGGGCGGCACACAACATGGCAGGCAACCAGCAGTGGCAATGGGGCACTGAGGGAGCAAGGGAAGGAGGAGGCAGGGAGACAGGGAACCTGATTGGCCCTGCTCACCGGCCAGGCCTAAGGAACCCTATCCGTGCACGATTTTGTGCACTGGGCCTCTAGTGGATATATAATCACATGTAACTTTCACAACCAAAAAATAGGATTACAGGAAAAAGGTAAGCATATGTTGGTTATAGAAAAAAAATACTAAAGCCCTATATTCTATGCGAATGTACCATGTTGTTTCCCATTACCCGGGGCTCAATCAACCCTGTTTGTTATCTTTTCAATAAACACATAATCTACAAACAAGTGCTGGCGAGGATGCAGAGAAAAGGAAACCTTCCTACACTGCTGGTGGGAATGCAGACTGGTGCAGCCACTGTGGAAAACATTATGGAGTTTCCTCAAGAAGTTAAAAATGGAACTCCCATTTGACCCAGTGATCCCACTTGTAGAAATATATCCCAAGAAATCAGAAACACCAATCAGAAAGGATATATGCACCCCTATGTTCATAGCAGCACAATTTACCATAGCGAAGATCTGGAAACAGACTAAGTGCCCATTAGCAGATGAATGGATTAGAAAATGGAGGTACATCTACACAATGGAATACTATGCTGCTATAAAAAGAAGGAACTTTTACCATTTGCAACAGCATGGATGGACCTGGAGAGCATTATGCTAAGTGAAATAAGCCAGTCGGTCAAAGATAAATATCACAGGACCTCACTCATTTATGGAATATAAATAACAATACAAACTGATGAACAAAAATAGATACAGAGGCAGAGCAACATCGAACAGACTGTCAAACTACAGCGGGAAGGCCGGGGAGAGTTGTGGGGGTGGGTAAGACATCAACCAAAGGCCT